TGGTAGGTATGTTTCCCTAGACTTGTTTCATCATGTGGAAATTTAAGAAGAAAGAGGAGGAATAGGAAATAAAGGCAAGATAGAGAAGACTTCAGCTCGAATCTAATACCTGGAGTAAAATCGTTGTCAGACAAATTACTGTCTGGTTTTCCATCTGTAGAACAAGAACAATGTCTTTGAAAAACACAAAGGAAACATCCTAACTGATGATTTGCCATCATTAGGAGTTTTGCTGCTGTTGCATGAAAAGTGGCCACTGTCTCAATTTATTGTGAGAGTGAAATAGTTTACGAAATTCTCAACCATTCTGTGGTACTGCCAAATTTATATTTTGTATTTGAAAATTAATTTAAATGTTTTCTGGGCTACAGAGAGAGGTCATACCATTCTGGTAGTTGGAAGAACACAAGTTTTGGTCTTACTATCAACTACCAGTGCACCCAGTCTTCTCCTTGTCTCCTTCCAGTCTGCCCAGGAGGAAGGGATGGGGGCTTTACTGGGGTGCCCAGATGTTGTTTGGTCTGCTGTATTTGGAATGACTGGCTGATGAGCTCAGGTGTGGATGTGTTGAGCGGGAGGCAGGAATCAGACTCACATCTATTTTCCTTCCCTTTCTGTATCAGAAACCATCCATTCAGGACTCACAGAAAGCTGCTCCACATGTCATGCTCATTTTTCTCCCTTTGTGCATTCCCAGTCTCTGTAACCTACTGCTGGGAAACAGAATTTAATCAGTGGACACCTGCACTGCTAATAAACTCTGCCTCCTGCTCGCCATAGGGTCAGGAGACATGGGCATGGGGCCTCAGACGAGTACGGACATCTTCTGCTTAATGTCATGTCTTCCCTGACAGCAACAATTTCTTGCAATTAGGCTTCTGCAGCAAGTAGGTAACCTGGGGGCAACAGCTGATTGTCTCTATTTAATTTCACTGCTCAATGTGAGCTTTATGTTCAAAACCCAGTGTTTCACCATTGCTTTCTTTCCTCTCTATTCATCTCTTGATGGAAGGGTATACAGCAGAGACAATTGTTACTAAAAACCTAAATCAACAGTTGCTTTTCTACACCTCACCTTGCTCAAGAAGACTCCAGTGAGCAAAATGAGATCTGTAACACTCAATAAGAAAAGAAGAAAACATGCCATAAAAGTCAACTTTTCTGTAAATTTGTGATAGCAGAAGCTGCAGTCTCTGAACATCGCAGGTCACTGATGGGAAACAAAATGTCTGCTTGACCGGACTAAGGATTGAAAGCACAGCTGAAGGATCCCTGGGAGAATTTGTTTTGTTTTGGCCACTTTTACATCCCAAGTGCTTCAGAAAGGTTCCTGTCCTGCAGAGTGTTGGCAGCAGTCTACCAGAGTAATGATGAGTATCAGTGGGAGATGCAGTGTTAAAAAATATTGCACCGTCCTTGATTTTGATGTGAACTTTCAAAATGTGATTAATAGTTCAACCAGGCTGAAATAAAAATACAGTATTTGCACAGTGAAATCTCAGAGACTGCAATTTTCTTCGCATGGGTTCAAGAGCAGTTTTAATAGATCAGTGGCAGCTGTTCTGTTGCTTCTGCCTCTTAAGAAGTTCCTGTTTTTTTCCAAGACCTTAGGACACTTGGAAATTTGTGCTTCGATTTATGCAGATTACACCAATGTCATTTTATATGTGATCTCTTAAGTATTCAAATTGAGCCAGTCTGTTCTGTTGTTGTCTTGCTTGGGTAGGTATTTTTGCACAGCTGAAGTTGAACTACATGTTAGCAGTTTTTCTTACACTAGCCAAGAACAAGATTAATAATTTTCAGGTTTTTTCTCATATTATTTTGGAGCTATAATTCTAAGAATACAGAAATTGAGAAATTTGTCTAGTTTCAAATATTCACCACAAGTAGGGGATTGTAGTTCAATTATAAACATTTTTAGTTTTCTTGTTTCTTTTGGGGGAAAATAACTCATTACGACATTATGAAAAACTGGTGATGTTGGCCAGTAGAGTCCCAGGGAGAGGTACTATAGACCTTTTGAGATTGTATGCTCAGAAAGCTAAATTGCGGAAGGAATTAAATGGAGAAGGTAGTAGGACCACTGTCCTTTAAAAACAACAGTACAAAATCTCACCTTTGAAACTGAGTTTCAGTGGCTTACGGCTGTAGATTAAATCAGTGGGGCAACAGGAAAACATTTTCAAAATTACATAGACTTGGTTTTCAGAAAAAGGAGATTGAAACTGAGAAGGGAGCCAAAGAGAATATAAAGCTTTCCAGGTCCAGCTTCTATTTGTTGACTTAATTCCAGTTTGGTTTGTGCCTCTCTGAACCTAAAGTTTAAATAGTTTTTACTTAATTACTTATCCCATCTATGCTCAAGAATCTAGAAGGCCATTAGCTGTGAAGTTTCCACACCCACATTTGGAGACTCCTTAGGCTATGGGAATTTTTGAAACCTGCATACACTTCCTGCTTTCACTAAGAACTATACAGCATCATGATCTCATTTTTTCACAGGACTGAAAAAATCTCACTTTTTAGGATTATCCACCTGAGAACAGAGAGTTCTTGGGAGAATGTTCTGTGTTCTTGGTATGTTCTGTGATTGTGTAGTGGGGTCTGGACTATGTTTGTAATCTGTATTTTAGCTTCTCGCTTTGAAACCCAATGTCATCTGCAGTTAATAGTCTGGTTACTCACTTGAAAAGATTGTGTTGCAAACCCAAAGAAAGGCCTTAGGATGTATCTTAGAGCATTTACAGTAAAATTTTGAGTAGAATTAGAAACTGTTTGATACAAGGCAGCTTCCAAGACTTAGAGTTTTGGGTAAGAAAGGAAAGGGCAATGTGAGCAAGATGAGAAAAGAAGCTAAAACTGCAGGTAATCTTCCGTGGTCCAGGTTTTGGACATATGTCATGGTGAGATGATGCTGAATCAGAGTTGTTCCTTACCCACTGATAAAGTCATCACATCTGACATCAATAAACCAAACACCCTCTAATTACCCGTTCATTCCATAACATGATTGACTTAAAGAAAATAACTGTAATTTAAAGAAACAGTATAGCATTAACATGAAGGTTAATTGCCATCTTCAGCTGTATCGTTGTCTTGGCATGAAATGTTTTTGCTGTATCTCAGCCACATCGTAGGTTGGGGTCTGGAGTTGATTTCTTGGTGTAATGGAGAGTTCAGAAGAACAAGCATCTGCATCTGCTTTTGGTTTTCTTCCCTTTCAGTGTACCTTGGAGTAAGGCCTGTGCTTACCTTTACAGTTTCAGAGGCTGAAAGATTTCACAGCAAGATTTTTTTTGATCACCTTATTTATCAATACAATTCATCTACAGAAATGTTCTTTTCATGGGTTTGTAGTAAAGGAATGATTATCACCTAATGCTAAGTACATATGTGTATATTTATGCATATAAACTTTCTAATTTCTAAATCACATTTTTTTTTTGATGCATACAGTACTAAAGAATCTAATTTAAGAGGTATTTTCTGGATGCCAAGGGATTGGCATGATTTATATATAATCCTAAACCAGTTGCTAACTTTAAACCCCTGGTCCTTTAATATCCATCCTGTTTCAAAAGTGGCTGCATGTGTGTGTATCTATATAAAGATTCAGAAATGTGTTCAGTTCAGAAGTAGCTATTTTCCCATTGCCAGTCACTAGGTTTTTTTTAGAAGTAATACAGAATATGCTGGTTGGTATAGTGCATTTTCTGCTTATGCATTAGTAGATTTAAGTCAGTATGGCTGGTGCGTGCTTTACTTTCAAAAATTACTAGAAGGCTTTTTCTCCACTTTAATTATCCTTCAAAGAGGCATAACTAGTATTTGGGAGTCCTTGTGACTTTTTTTGTTCTCATGAAAATGTTCTGTTCCTTTCATAGGTTGAAATCGTGAGAGAACACAAGAAGTGGGCGAAACACTAAATTATGCTATAAATCAAGAAACTTTATGTGAAATTATGTATTTTCTAATTACCTTGCTTAGATATAGATTGAGCAAAAAAGCAAATGAGCTACACAAGTTAAAGAAATGTCAGATAAACAAACTATGACATGTGTAGTATTATTACCATCTGACATGTCTCAAACAGTGATTTTACTCACTCATCCTTCATTCTTTATATCTGCATGTCTAGCGGTGCATGCGCTTATGTTTTATATAAAGGGCAAAGTCTGTAGTCAGAGCATTTGAGTTATGCTGTTAAAAATAAATTAAGGAACAGCAGGTGAAAATGGTTCCTATACATGAATATTCAAACTGTACCTCAGTCAGATACTGTAGAAAGAATAATAAAGAGCAGTGAAACTTTGGTGGGGCCAAGGTGTTGATATGATCTGAAATAAAATTTTTATTGGCACAAGGTTGAGATGACTCCAAAATTTTACTCAAGGAATGGCAGGATCTGTTCGTATGCCCCACTGCCAAAATATTCAAGCGTTTAAAAAATTGAGGGGGCAGTAGTACTGGGATGACAGAATTCTGTCAGGCACATAACACCCGTGTGCTTTAGTCTCTGAGCAGAATGGGCTTCGGGTTGGCAGGAGGGTGTAGAGGCTGCATAGCTAAATTGAAAGTGAGAGACTTGAGTTAATTCCTCCTCTGGCAGCCATTTCCTATGTTAGGCACTTTCAAGTAGACCATCAACTACCTTTTTTTTTTTTTTTTTTTGGTATGAATGAAGAATGTGACTTTCACCCTATTTAACTGGTGGAATCCTGCTGCCGTTGTTGGATTTGGTGATGTTTCATGGGAATAAAGAGCATGACCGCTGTTCAGGGCCCTGTTACAGGGGGTTTTCAGGGAAAACTCAGGAGCCAGAATGCATTTGTGGATCTGACGTTCATCTCCCTATCGCTTACACAGTATAAAGACAAGAACGTTCAGGGCTGTGAAATACTTAGATACTCTGGCAGTATGGAAGGAAGCATATTAATGGATGACTGACTTCTTTTAATGTCAAATTTATTATTTTCTTTTCTTTGCTTGCTTCACAGATCCCGTGCATGGACCCCAAAACGTAGAAGTTGTTGATATTCGCTCCCGGCAGCTGACATTGCAGTGGGAGCCCTTTGGTTACGCGGTGACCCGCTGCCACAGCTACAATCTCACAGTCCAGTACCAGTATGTGTTTAACCAGCAAAAATTTGAGGCAGAGGAACTCATCCAAACTTCTTCCCACTACACTTTGCGAGGTCTTCGGCCCTTCATGACCATCAGGCTGAGGTTAGCCCTCTCTAACCCAGAGGGCAAAATGGAAAGTGAGGAGTTGGTTGTGCAGACTGAGGAAGACGGTAAGTTATGTCGGGTTTGCTTGCTTGCTTGTTTTCTGGGGGAAGACTAATATTTTCAAGTTGTGAATAACAACATAACCCTCTGTCCCATGAGACTTATAAATAACTTCTCTGGACAGTGTGTGTGTTATGCAAGTAAAATTTCTACGTGTAAATAATTTGCATTTCACAGCCATGTTCTTGAAAGGGAAAGGATCCCTGAAGTGTTTGGAGATGACAAACGTCAGTCTGAGCGGTTACCAAACAGTGGTAGGTTTAATTCTATAGAAATTGTGTTCTGAGCTACCCAGGACACACAGAGCAGCTTCCTTTATCATATGGGCAAATATAATCCTGGCATTTCTTGATTTTTCTTGTGCCTTCACATCACTGTCCCAAAATGAAGTATAATGTCTTCCTTTCCAACATGTAGCTTTTCTTAATACTGATCTGGATGTAACAATTTATATACCTCTCAGAAGCTAAATTCATTTGGTGCTAACTCTTTCATCCTTGATACAAAACAAGTGTTTTCCGGAAGTACTGATGGAAGGCTTTAAAGTGTTATTATCCCATCTGAGCTCTTTCAGACCAAGGACTCTTATAGACTAGAAGCCTCCGTTAAAAAAGAAGTGTTCTTCTTCTGCCAGAGCTGTAAGCAGTTGCTGTCCTAAGTTTCTCTCAGCTGCAGGTGGCTCTTTCACTCCAGTATATCATCTGGGGGGGACATAAGAGGATGGCAGGTCTTTCAGAAGAACGAACGGCGTTTTTATCAGACAGGCTTGGGAGTGCATTTATTTAGTTATCTTCCACAGCATTAAAATTTTGCTTGAGTAGGTGGATTTTTTAGCTGGCCTTGTAGCCATAATGAAATATAAATCTTACATTGTTACTTTACTAAGGAAATAAATCTTTCATATTGATAAAGGTGTGCAGCCCGGTAGCATCTTTATGCCAAGGTGCAATCTGGCTGTTTAGGTGAATAGAGCTTTGCTCTTACGTGGGCGGAGAAGGACAAATTAAATTTCCAGATGCTGCTGTGCTGTACTGGAATAAGGATGTACTGAAATTAGCTTCATCTTTTCATGGATTCTGATTTTATGTATCACTTAGTGGTTAGATTAGGGTATTCTTATTTGAACCAAAATTGACAATAGGCCTTTCATATTGATAGTACCTTGGTAATGGTAGTGCCTTGGGAGGGTTTTTTATTATATTTAAAAAAATTTTTTTATTTTCACCTCTGAACTTCCTATCTGGTAGCCTCTTGGTGTCTTCTGATGTGTGTGCAGCTGGAGCTGGTGGTAACTACTAACATGCTTTTTTGTTTGTTTGTTTTTTTTTTTTTTTTTCCTTTAGTTCCTGGACCTGTTCCCTTGGAATCTATCCAGGGAGGACCTTTTGAAGAGAAGATCTATGTTCAGTGGAAGCCTCCAAATGAGACAAATGGTATCATTACACTCTATGAGGTGAGGAGAACAGATTGTTGTCAAGGAATACCTGCCATAGGGCCCTTTTCATATGTGTTTAAGACAATCCTGAGCTCTGGGAGATTTCAGCAGATGCTAAAAGAAGCTTGATTAAAATATATAGGAATCTTCAAGGTAGTCTGCCGCTATCACTGAAAAAGTTTTCCAGTTCAAAAAAGAGAAAAGATTTCTTTACCAATATTCCCCCACGTCTCAGGTGTTCAATTCCTGCCCTTTTTTCTTCTGCAGTATCTCCAAGGTGTGTTTTCTTTCCTTTTTTCTGAGTCAAACTTCTGTTAGATTTTATACCTAAATACTGCAACTAATTCCTCTGTGCCTTTCCAATAGTCATAACACTTCCTGGCAATCTCTGCAGAATATAGCCGTTAAGTCTTATCTTCTAGTGTTCTTATTGAATCTTTCAATGGTACGTCTATCTAGCCCAACCACTTTCCCTTCTGCCAAAAAAAATACACAGCTGGTTACAGGATGATCACTGACCATCCTATGATGGATGAAAAAAAAAATAATTAAATGTGATTATAGAGTGTGTCAGAGGAGATGTTTCTTGTTAAGGTAAGGAAGTGTTACTATTGTCATGTGCTTCTGGTGAAACAGTATCCATAATGTCATGTACACCCAAATACATGTAAAAGAAAAATAAAAGGAGGACTGCTTTAGAGGATCCTGTGAAATCAAAGACAAGAGAAGGTAAGAAGAGAAGGTAAAGGCACTTTTATTAAATAGCAGAAAGTGGTGCCACAGTGCTGACTGAGCATGTTTCAGTTCATAGGTTCAGCATTTACCACAGTAAGATTAGAAAAAGTAAAAAAAAATTTTGCTTTTATGGTGATGGAAGAATCCTCACTGTGGGCTTGTGCAGTATTTTCTGATACAGGGAGGTAAGAACCACTTTTCTGCTTTCTTTTCTGCTGGGTGAACATGCAAGCTTATTTTGGAAAACGCATGAGTGCAAGAAGCAACTCTGCCATCACCAGTGAGGTTTTGCTCCTTTCCTCTTCCCATCCAGCTTCTTAGTTTGCAACAGCATGTCTTATAAGATGTCACTCCTAGATCTCCTTGCGAACACTGGCTGTCACTGTGTGACAGGTTCATCAGCTGGAGATAAAAATACAGATGAGCAGTTACATGTAACCTGGAGAAATGGCCAGAACATTCTCAGGGTAGTTGTCAGGTGAATCTGTATCACAGGCAGGTATGAGCACCTCTTCCAAGTAACGGGAGATCCTGCTTTTGAAATTGCTCAGTAAATAAAGTACAGGTCTTTGCACAGAAACATTTCATCCTGCTACCTGCAAATGAAGTTTAATCTTCCTAAAAATACAGAGATGCTTCCAGTATTGTCCAAGTAGTTGCATCTTTTGCATTGTTTGCTTAATCCCTAGCCTATTATAGATACTTAAACCTGCACCTTGTCTCTACTGGTGTTATTTTAAGATTTCATGCCATGTGTCTAGGATCAAAGTATTTCCTCGGTAGTAATGACCTCCAAAGTGTTGCTTTAAAGGGGTTTCAGCCATTTTCCAGTATCATCATGGTCTTACACTGCTTTAACAGAGTTCAGCTGACCTAGTGGTTAAAGAGATAAAAAAAAAAAAAAAGTAGTGGCTAGTCTCCGATAGGTTTTCAGTTCTTTCCCATGGCCTACAGTACTGATCCAGGTAGAAGCAGAAGACTTTAATGACAGTAGAAGAAAAAAGATCAAACTATGAACTTGTGCAGCACTGTTTTAATGAGGTGCCTGTAGGGAGCACAGTCCCTGCAGCCCGGCACAGCAGTGCTGCTCTGTCACCAGGAGGAGCCGGGAGGCTCCAAGATGTGCTGCCAAACTTGCAGCTATCTAGAAACTCTGCGACTGTGTCGCTGTTATTAAGGAGAAACAAACCCAAGAGCTTACCACCATTTATTGAAGAAAAATGCCCTGCAAAGTACGGTATCAAGAGATATCACTTTATGAATTTGAGTTAGTGGTGTCAAGTTCTGCATTACACCTGGAAGTAGCTGGCTAGATTCACACGTGGGTATTGTGCAAGTGATGGTCTCTCAACCTCTCTTGGGCACAAGCTCTCCTGATAAAAACAAAATACAAAAGTCTTCTCCTAAATAATAGCGCCCTCCTTGCCATCACAATCAAGATCGGATTCATTGTATTCTAAAATGCTTCTGAATAATCACACTGTATATTCTACTTACATCCCACTTGCTTTACCTTGGGATAGATTTTCTTAGATCCCTAATCATTCTTGCAGTTCCCTGCCAGGCAGACTTCCATATTGCACAAATTGCTGTTGCAGTTTGCATGTGCGCTGCTTACATGCCAACTGGGCTGAAATTCAGCAGCGCAACCTTAAGCAAGTCATTTGGCAGCCAGAATCACTGATTTCATGATGACTGAATACTTCTAAAGAGCCTAACCAAAACGGAAGGTCCTTAATGAACCTTTTTGACTTATGCAAGCCCGTTCTGATTGATATTTATCCTTCAAAATGCTGTTGTAGTCTTTTAATATAGGTGACAATAGCCTTGCATTTAAAACTGGCTTAAACCCCTCCTGCGTTTGGTTGGAGAATTGATTGTTTCGCTGGGTACAGCCACAGCTGGATTCTTTAAAAAAGGAACCTTCTAGATCCCCAAATTGGTGTGTAATTGCAGTCTGTTTCTAGGGAGCCGAAACCTCTCATTCAAGGGAACTTGGAAAGCTGCAGGAATTGCAAGTCAGTTAATCAGTATGCTGAAAAGATTAGGACATGAACCGTGTAGGAAGCAAGTGATGGTACAGTTCATTCCGGAGGTGTTAGGGCAGCACAGCAAAGCAGTTAATAACACGAGCGTATGCTGAGTTAGTAGGTGTCAGCTGATCTGTCCAGTCAAGAAAGCCGTTAGGGAGATGCATAGGCGGCTGTTGCAAGTGAGCCGTGCAGGGGAGATAAAGCTTAAGAGCTCGAGCTGTAGTCAAGTCCCCAGGTAGCTTCAAGGTGTGTAGGTACTTACATGTGACAAGTAGATCAATCTGTTCAGAAACACAGCTAAACAGCGATAATGGATTTTGCTGGTACATTGGTTTGGGTAGAATGCTCTACAGAGATGTTTTTGCATGTGGCATTCATGAAAGAGGCGTTAATACAGCTGTCTCGCATAGCGAGCTGTGAGTGGCAGAATCTAATAATACTGTAATAAGTCCTGTCCCCCCTTCAGTCTCCTGGCAGACTGAAAGCACCACAAATTGTTGATTTTTTTTTTTTTCCCACCAGTCCTGAAAAGCTGCTATGCTTTAAAATCCCTAATAATCAAATACTGCTTAGTGCGCTTATACCCATGTGGAAGTTCAGCTTCAAAGCCTTTGTGTACAAAGACATGCAACAAAGACTTATGTTTGAAACTTTTTTTTTATCCTAAGTGTGTGAAAAGTCAAACCACCGTCAAACAGCAGAAAGACCTATGCTGTCATTGGACTGCCGGAACAAATAATCTACTTTAAGGTCATGGAGCAGATTTGGCACTTAAATCCTCCTGGTTTTAGATTAGATAAGGTTGTCTCAAGTGTTTGTTCCATAATCCAAATTTAAATGCTTCGGGTACATGTGTGGAACCAGATATTTTGTACAAACTTGCATCTTGAAAATGTAAATAAACCAGACTGATTTGTATCTGCATTTCACTGTTCGTTTAGGCAGCTGGAAGCTTACAGGTGCACTCAGTAAGTGATGCTGGATTTCGCCTTTCTAAATACATTTTTCTTGTGTAATCTATTTCTCAGAATTGTCAGGTTTTAGAATATTTTGCCCTTAAAGGGGAAGAAAGGAAAAAAAAAAAAAAAAAAAAAACCAAACAAACCAACCACCTAGCATTCCTATCTAAGATATTTGTCACATTACTTGGGGGAATGCATTGTGTTAAGGTAATACAGTCCTAGAAACATTTAAAAGGTGGCTACAATATGTTCATCTCCTTGGCTGGAAAAATGACTCTCAGACTGTTGAAGTCCTTTCAGTGAGCCATGCCTAAAGGCAATGTTTAAACAGGAAGCTCTTTTTAAACATTGTGAGGTGTAGTCTTGTAATCACTTACGTTCTCATCTTTATGATTATTAAGTCTCATGTGGGTTGCACATGGGGCTTGGGAAAAATAAGGATGCATTTACAGCTTCTAACTAGCTAGTTCTCTCAGTCACTGTTTCTGAAATGCTGTAAATCTCTATTTAGATGCCAAGCATAATAATATAAGGGACTTTCATACACAATTTCAGGTCTTTAATGGGATGCTTGGAGCCTAGTTCTTCTAATCCTAGTGGATTTGAGTTTAAATTGCACTTCAGAGGTTACAGATCCTCTTAGTTGCCATGTAAAATTACAGTCTGCCTTCGTCATCTCTCCAGTTGCCAATACGCCATCTTTTCTCCATCACTTCACTCACTTTTTCTCTGTAGGAGAGGTCGTTACATAGGAACTGCCTCTTGGGGGGTCATGCATAAGGTCAATATTTGTGGGATTCACTGCCTGCATTTACAATAGGGGGGAAACAAATTTCTTCCACATTTGACCCCTGAAAATGCATACTTATTATAACACAAGGCATGATTATCTGGTGTGATAGCTATCCACTGCATGGATATGCATGCTTTTCTACTCGTAACCCTTTTTTAAGCTATTCATGAAACCTGACATTTTTAGGATAAAACTTTTCCTGCTAAAACGTGTACCAAAAAAAGGTTTCCTGGAAAAACTGAAAAGGTTGAGGACTCAACTTGGCTTAGTTATTTGTTTGTTTATGTGAAGGCTTTTTTGGTTAAGAGTGAAAAATGGCTCCCACAAGAAGGAAAGCAACAACCACGAAATCCTGCAACCAATTTATATAAAGCTCTACAGTCGAAATAGTAGAAGAATGACAATTCTCGGAAATTGCCTTCAGTGAGAAGTGGCTTTGAATGTTCCCATGAAAATCAATCATGTTACAGCTTCTCAATTGCATTCTGTGGATGC